ACACATGTACACACACACACACACGTACACACACACACACACACACACATGTACACACACACACACACACACACACACACACACACACACACACACACACACACCTGTTCTCTTACTTATTGGTGCAGAGAGGAGCTGAGGAGGGCTGGAGGGGAGATGATGGATGTGAGGACGGAGGGCGGGGGCCGGACGGATAGATGGATGGGCTGCGGGCGATCAGGTTCGGGTCACGGGCTGATGTGTCCCAGACGGATTCTTCCGCGGCTCTGAACAGGAGAGGAAGCGATCGATGTGGGAACGCCGGGGCCTTGATCCACCAGGCGGAGAGGAGATGGAAAACTCAATCTGAGGCTCACGGCGCTGATTCAAAGTGAGAAACAACCAACAGACGAATCAAACAAAGTCCAGCTGGAGCTCAGGGAACAGGTTCTGACTGAACCACAGAGGTTCGGACTGAACCACAGAGGTTCTGACTGAACCAGAACCACAAGGACAACAGACAACAACACAGTACTGAAAAAATCTACAGAGTGCTCCTTTAAACTGAAAACCACAGCTGTGAGTAAACTGAAGAGAGTTCAGACTTTAACTAAATATCTGAACATGAACGACCAAAGATCAGAGTTTACCTCAACATACAGTCAGACAGAATCTTTATTCTGTGTTTTATAAACAAAAATCCTTAAATATCAGTCAATAGTTATTAGTTATTGATGACATTTGGTAATATAATAATATCGCCGTGTTCTCCACCTCCTCTAACCTGATTGGTTGTGAGGCAGACGCTGCTCCCCCGTGTCGTTCAGGAGCCCAAACAAAGTTAGCGTGCTACAATATCGGACAGTAGAAACCAACCAGAAAGTTCGGAAAATTGTCCGAATCCTCCTTTGGCCACGACTGCCGACACAAGCAAGAAAACAAAGTAAATACCGGAGACTCTGGAGGAATAACGGGCGCTTAAAACGGAGGTAGACCGGACAAGAGCTAAAAAGACGGGTCAACATAAACGATGGGGGACGCTTGGGGATCTTGGTGACCCTGTAACCTTTCTGCTGGACAGGTAAACCGCTTTAACAAAGTAAGACAAGTGTCTGTAACAGAAGTGTTTCTTGTCAAACGGACCTGCTGTAGCGTGTTGTAGCGCCATCGCTAAACTGTCCTCCCTCGGGTCCTGGACTATGTCACTTTATCCTCGTTGTAGAAGTCCTGCAAACATTGTGTTTGCTGGTGGTCTGTTGGCATCTACAGTAGCACCAATGCTTTTGACTTTCACCTTGACTGGGCCCCATTTGTAATGATCTGAAGGATTTATCTGCATTATATCTGAATTTAACTGGAACGATACGAGCGATCCTGTCTACCCCACCTTTAACTGAGTCAGGAGGGCGCCATGGCGAGGTCAGACACACACGTTTCTCTGTCTCTCACTAACACTCAGACGTCACTAACTCGGGGGTCTCTCTCTGCTCTCCTTGTGAAGGTGGTCGGTGTGTAAACCTGCAGAAACAGGTGTGACTCTGGATAACAGCTGTTTAGGAGCGCGGTGTGAACAGTGACAGTGATGGCGGCGGCGGCAGAACTCAGACTGAAAGCTGCGATTAGACGTAGAGATTCTGTCCGGTCAGCTGGGACTGAAGGAAATCCTCCGTTATTGATCTGTCGCTCCATCAGTCAGACACACACACACACACACACACACACACACACACGTCTGTTCCTATACCTGTGAGGACGGCGGTCTGTATTATCCAGTCTGTGGAGGTTTAGAGTCAGCTGAGCTCTTTATTCTCTGTGATTAATGATGACAGAGAGGAGGAGGACGATCACCCAGAACTACAGGGTTCATTACAGCTGATCAGCTGATCAGGAACTTACAGGAAATCAACCTGATGTTCGTTTACCAACAGACAGACAGACAGACAAAAATAAAAAGATGCTTCTTTAACAGATTCCTGTCGACTTCACCTTTAAACGAACTCTGACAGATTGTGTTCAAACGCTGAATAAAGAGTAAATTTACAGAATCAGAGTTTTTACAGAAGTTTGTTCTGATGAGGTACAACTGACACACACACACACACACACACACACACACACACACACACACACACACACACACACACACACACACACACACACAGAGCAAATGTCATTGACCTTTACACTACAAGACAGCAGGACATCAACAAACAGGAAGTGTCCCTGACCTTTCACACATCCAACACCAGAGCATACACACACACACACACACACACACACACACACACACACACACACACACACACAAATTGACATGTCAGCTCAGGTCCTCCTTTGTGACCCTGGGGTCAAAGGGCATGACCTATCAGTGACGCGTTAGCAAATACAACTGTACACCAACAAGGGGCAGTAATGAGTCAGTGTTAAAGAAGGAGGAGGGGTATGGAAGCAAATTAGTGTCATAATTTAAATGAAAATAAATTAACAGAAATGTATTTGTATTTTTAGAATGTACCTGCACTTTTTTACTCTTAAATAAAATTAAATAAAATCCCGGGGACGACTTTTCCCGGGGAAAGTTCCGCCTCCTTCGCCTCTGATTGGCTAAAAAATGGAAACATCATCACATGCTCAAGCTAAACAATCAGAAATTATAGCCAATCAGAGGCGGAGGAGGGCGGGATCTTCCCTTGGAGTCTACTTCAGCTTCAAGTGATGGCGACTCGGTAAACAACAGCAGACTGAGTGTTTCTCAGTTCTGATCAGACTCTAGTGTTGAGATGTCTGTCTGTCATGATAGACTGAGTCGGGTCAGAACCAGATAAGAACATTAAACTATAATCCATAAACGTGAGGGAACAACAGAGACCTGATGGAGCTGTGACTGAGTTTACAGTGAAAATACAGATGGTCTGTTGTATCTGAACAGGTTAGCTTAGAGCTAAAGTTACGTTAGCACAGATGAAGGTTCAAACAAAGACGTTTATCAAACTGTTAAAGCTCACAAACCATCGTCATCGGAGAAATCCGACACTATGACTCTCCACAAGTCGTCCTTCAGGTCGTTATCTTTGTAATGTTTGTGTCTTTATCAAAAATCACTCTGTTCTCCGACACGGAAACAATCAGCCGGTCGGCCATGTTGGATATACCGCTGAATCTAACGTCGCAACAACACGAAATCTGATTGGTCAGAAGTGGACACACAGTCTGAGAAACTTTAGAAAGATCGACCGTGATCCGAAAAAATAAATGCCGAAATGTCACAGGACGGGAAAACGTTGCTGATGTGACGCTTGTGTTGACAGGATAAAAAATACTGATGTCCAAAATAATTGCACAAAAAAAAAAAAGCCCCTCCCGGTTTAAAAGGAGCTTTATTCTCTGCATTTTATTTCTGAAAATATCAGCGAAAATCTGCGAGTTTTGGCTGATTACCGCTTAGTCTCATATGGGCTAAAATTGGCCGTTTGGTCGTCTGTTTCAGCTGCACAGGGGTCAGTTTTAGGACCAACTCTGTTTTTAATCTTTACTAAAATGAGTTGGACCTAAAACTGACGCCTGTGCAGCTGAAACAGACGACCGTTCAGTCGGCTTTCTCTAGAGCAACGCCTTACGACAAAACAGAGACACAAAGACCTCACAGATGCAGGAGATTATTGTGTTGGAAAAGACATGAGACCAATAAACACTGATAGATTTTTATATCCTGATATTGATCCATATCAGCTGATATAAGAAATCGTGATAAACTTTTTCCCGTATCGCCCAGCTCTACTTTAAAGTCCTGAATAAAACTGTCAGCACTTACATCAGTGTCATCTAAAGAGACATCATGAAGAAGAACTCGTTTAAATAACAGTGAAAATCTCCTGACTGGAGCTTTAAATGTTTGTAAGGTCAGTCTGACAGAGCGGCTAACATTAGCTCAAACACCCGCTAACACACCTCTGTGTGAACCAAAGACCTGACAGTTGGGCCTTAAACCGAGCCGACACCTCCTCATCTGATCAGAGTTCATACAGAAGTTTATAAAAGATCTAAAACTTTAAATTAAAGGAGGTTAAAGTCAGAAACACCAACTCACCTCCTCTCTCCTGCTGCAGCCTTCACTTCCATTTAGACGGCGGAGACGCGCCTGTAGGCTTTATGAAGACTTTCATTAATTATTAATTAAAACAGTGATTTTTACCACCTTTAAATATCATAAACTTGTTTTTCTTAAAGTCAGATTTTTTATTAATCCCGTCAGGAGGAAAAAACGGACTCTTGGATTTCTCCATTGTAAACAGGCGCTCTTCAGACAGCCGCTCCCGGGGGTCCTGAGGGTTATCCGGTAGTTGTTAGCAACAGGATGGCGGCGTCCACGCGCTCTCAGGTGATCTCTCTGTACAGGTTACTGCTGACGGAGAGTAACAAGTTCCCCTCCTACAACTACAGGTGAGACAGGACCGCGGGGTTACCTGAGGTCAGCCCCGAACCGTCCGGACCTGCTGCTGTCAGCGGCGGTACCGGGTCTGTGTCTGTTTACCTCAGAGGGAGAGTGAGGTCATAGATTCGGGTTATTACCGAGGGTTCAGTCTGTAAGGTCTTTAAACAGCTGCTGAGGGGGTTAATCTGCTGTTTTATCACTGAAATTATGGGATTATTGAGGTTTTTGAAGTCAGTCATCTTTAACAGGAAGTGAGTCAGAGGTTAAAGGAGCAGTCCGGAGATTTTGTAACACCTTTAGGTCTGTGTGTGTGTGTGTGTGTGTGTGTGTGTTAGAAATAGGTGACTACAGTAAATGTTCCTCCGTGTGAACACTGACTCAGTCTGAAGATGTTGGTGTTCAGCCTGTGAGGGACCCACAGTTCAGCCCACGACCGTGACTCTGTTTTCTGTGATCACGTGATCTGAGTGTTTTTGTCAGGGACCGAAGAAGAAGAAGCAGATTTAAAGGTTCATTAACAGAAATATTATGGAGACGTTTGTTTAAAAGAGTAACTATAAATATTCTTAACAACTTTTTCAAACTTAAAGCTTTTATTCTGAAAATCTGGTGATGCTGACAGTGACTTGAGTTTGTTTTGGACAAATATTGATGTGCATTTCAAGCAAAAGTACTATTATACAACCGCGGGATAATAATCAATTATTGATCAAATATTGGATCCCTCCCTCTGCGATCATCTTTGAGATGGGAACATCATTTGCTCCTCGTGTCTTTCATCAAGTATGTCGCCTAGTGGTAAAGATCATGATTGACTGTTGCTTTGCTTTCGTACAGCTGTGCGTGGTCGTCGTAGACTTATACAAGCTTAGCCTCACAGAGTTGACACTGAACCTGTGCTTCACCTGTTTAACTGTTGGACGGCTGCTGCAGTCATCTCTCCATCCTGTTTATTTCTTCTTCTAACAGCCACACTGTGGATCATGCAAACACTGCCCTCACACAGAAGGCACCAGTGAAACAACTGTTTGACTTTTTAGGATTTAATGACTGTTTGAATATTCGAAAACCACTGTAAATGGACTTTATTCTCCTAATTATCTTCCTTTATTTTAGTCCAAACTCTGAATTAAACTCTGATTTCTCAGATTAATTTTTTTAATTTATTTCAGTCGTTGATAAAAATCTCTGCAGACTTGACAAAGTTTCCATCTCTCAGATCCTCCAAATGTTTTACACTCAGGTTTGTTTCTGTTCAGTCTGTATTATTATCCACATTTATCATCATTCAGCTCAGCTGTCACCCGGACTCTTTGCTCCTTTTGTGCCTTTATCATTAATATAATAAATATAATAAATATAATAAATATAACGGTCTTCAGGGTTCACAGGACACCCCCCCCCCTTCAGTCGCTGCAGCTTCAAACTTTAAAAACCAAAAAACTGCAGATCTACCAACAACACATCTAATTCAGTCGAGGGTTAGTCTCCCTCTGCCTGTCTCTGCCCGGTAATACCTGTGTGTGTGTGTGTCTGTGTGTGTGTGTGTGTGTGTGTGTGTGTGTGTGTCTCTGTGTGTGTGTGTTTGTTTGTTTGTTAGAGGTGAGGTAGGGACAGCATTTTTCAGCTGTCATAACACACACACACCTCCCTACACGGACTTCAGAGAGCCGTCGCCCCCTGTGCTCCTTGCAGGCCGTCACTGTGTTAAATTATTGAGCGGTCAGATGAGGAATGGTCTCCTCCTCCTCCTCCTCCTCCTCCTCCTCCTCCTCCTCCTGCTGCTGGTCCAAATGAAATAAATTCGCTCTGTCTGCCCGGAGACGGGACGCTGCTCCTGTCTGCACCATGACAGAGCTGCTGTGTTTGGAGGGGGGGGGCGGATATCTGCGAATGACAGAGTTTCAGGAGAGGACTGAGAGGCTAAAACAGAACGGACTGAAGGTCCTGGTAGATCAGCTGGTCAAATCCAACCTATCAGGAGCCTTGATGCAGCCCTCATAGGGCCAGGCGATATGGGAAAAAGTTTATCATGATATATTATTGATCATATCAGCTGATATCGATCAAAATCAGGATCTAAAAATCTAACAGTGTTTATTGGTCTCATGTCTTTTCCAACACAATAATCTCCTGCATCTGTGAGGTCTTTGTGTCTCTTTGGCGTTTTGTCGTAAGGCGTCGCTCTAGAGAAAGCCGACTGAATGGTCGTCTGTTTCGGCTCCTCGCTCCTCTCGGGGTTTGTAACCTTTTGCGTTGCGCGTGCTCTGCGGCGTGGCGCTGCTTCAGGTGGTGAAAAAGATTTGAGGTATTCCCCGACTTTGTGAGAACATGTACTCGACATAATTTACAGTCCACATTACTCTGCTTCATGTCCGACCTCCAAAAACCAAAATACCTCCACACCACCGACGTTTTCCTAACGCCAGTGTTGTGGTTGACATTGATGTGGTCATCTGTTGAGCCTTCATGGTCATTTCTGTCGGGGGTAGCACTCATTTTCTTTGTTTCTCACCAACAGTGCTGTCGGCTTCACCTGTTAAAGTGCTATGGTTGGGTGGAGCTGCTGTCTGCTACGACGCTGCAGTTGGTTGATACTTGGTTCTAATTCAGAACATGATTGGTTCAGACCCGGAGACACTCCCCTTTTCATTGGCTGTTCGTATAGTCAACCAAAACATGTCAGAATGACGACTATTGAAAAGGATATTGATCATGTTTGATATCGATATTGAGAGAAATTAATTTTCAGTATATATGGTTTTGTCGTCCAGCCCTGAGCCCACATGTCACAGAGACTCTCACTGCAGCAGAACCCAAACCACCGAGTTCAGAAACTGAAAACTGGACCTGGACTCAGTGAAGTTTAGACTGTTTTCTCTCTTATCCCACAAAGAGACGACCGAGGAGGTTCATGTTGAGTATATTTGAAGGTTAACTGTTGGGCGTGTTTCTGTGTTTGTGAAGCCGACCTCTCAGCAGGTTTCTTCTCCCTGTTCTCCTCGATCATCTCACCTGGACTCGGTGTGTTTGTGGTTCAGCGGAGCGTTTCACTGGCGCTGAGTCATCCTCTGAATGTGCTGCAGCTCTGACCAGGATCTGCATCCATCAGAGGACTCCGAGGCTCACATCCTGACTCTGCTGACACCTCTTTAGAGGTCTCTGAGTTTGGAGACAGCCCGACTCTCAGCTCCTTCTCTCCTTTTTTAAGAATGAGCAGACTGGAGCAGTCCTCCTCCCCTGAAGCTTCAGGTGGAGCTGAAAACAGAGTGTGCCGGTGTGCTGCTGCTGCTGATTGTTGAATGACCTGAATATGCCAGACGTTGCTGCAGGCTGTGTTTTGTTGTCTCAGTGTCTCTCTCCGACTACAATAGCAGCTGACGCTCTCAGCTCCTCTTCCTGAGACGAGAGTTTTTATCAGCGGGAGGAAAACAGAAATATGAAGAAACATTCAGAATGAGATTAACGCCGCGGCTGATAGTCCCAGGAAACAGGAAGTAAACTCAGTCATGTCATTAAAACACCAATCAGACACTTTGGACTTTTATGAAAAACAGGATTTCAGCTCCTGAACGAAGAAACGAAGGAGAAGTTTGTGTGAGCAGAGAGAGGAGGAGGAGGAGCTAATCTGACACACGGAGGGAGAAACTGAGCTGGACAGAGACCGTGAAGGACCTGGTCCATGTCTGTAAAACTGACCCGACACTGACTTCCTGTTTGGTGGAGTGACATCATAGTGTATGATATAGCGTGTGGCGTTCAAAGCTGGTTCAAACATGCACGCCGTACATCAGAATGGTGGACTTCCTGTTGGCTTTATGGCGTGGGTCCAGGTGTCAGAGTCCACATGGCGTTAAGTTGTGAGGTCAGCTCTGCGGCGATGGCGAATGTTTTGGTCATGTCACAGGAAGTGGGGGAGGGGCTTAGTCAGAAGGACGTCACATCACTGCGGAGGAACAACAACAAAACAACCATCAGTGTTTTCTGTGTCTCTCTCTCTCTCTCTCTCTCTCTCTCTCTCTCTCTCTCTCTCTCTCTCTCTCTCTCTCGCCCCCCCACAGTACTAACAGCTGAGCGACTGTTGACTTTCCAAAATCCTCTGATTAATAAATGAGGCGCACGCCTCCTCTCCTCGTCTCCCTCCTTTCCTCCCTCTCTGAGTCTCCTCCTCTTCTTCTTCTTCTTTTCTCAGTTTGATCTCAGGTGTGTGTGTGTGTGTTTGTGTGTGTGTGTGATGTTTTCAGTGAGGACACACACACACACACAGACTCAGATCACTCATTCAGAGTTTAGCGGTCAGCTCTCTCTCTCTCCCTCTCTCTCTCTCTCTCTCTCTCTCTCTTTCTCTCTCTCTCTCTCTCTCTCTCATCCGTCACCGTTTTACCGTAAAGTAAACTTTTTCTTTTTTTTAAACTCAAATTTCAAAAGTTCGTTCAGAGTAAACGTGGCGTTCAGCGGGTCAGACTCATCTGTCCTCCTCTTGGAGGATTTATCGCCGTCAGACCGTACTGGATCAGTTTTTCTGAAGGCCTACATTGAAGCGTCCTGGTGGCGCCCACGGTCTGACATCATCAGTGACCTCGTGTCGTGGTCAGACGCTGTGCTGATGAACCTTCTCTCTGTCCTCTCTGTTGTTCTTCTTTCTCTCCGTCTTTTCTGTCGTTCATTAGTGGGCGGGGTCATCATGTCGGTCCTTTAGAGGTCTGATGGAGGACCTGAACGCCCGGTCTCTGGACCCGCTGAGCTTTAGACCGAGACCACGAGAAGAAAAACCACAAAACAAGAACCACAACGACGAGAACTCTGAACTGGAGCTTCACTGTCTCCTTATTTCCTTCTATCCTTCACTGTCTCCTTCTTTGCTTCCATCCTTCACTGTCTCCTTCTTTCCTTCCATCCTTCACTGTCTCCTTATTTCCTTCCATCCTTCACTGTCTCCCTATTTCCTCCCATCCTTCAGTCTCTCCTTGTTTTCCTCCTCCTTCCTCCCTCCCTCCTTCCCTCTCTCCTTGTTTTCCTCCTCCTCCCCTCCTCCTCCCTCCCTCCCTCCCTCCTTGTTTTCCTCCTCCCTCTCTCCTTCCCTCTCTCCTTGTTTTCCTCCCCCTCCTCCTCCCTCCCTCCCTCTCTCCTTGTTTTCCTCCTCCCTCCCTCTCTCCTTGTTTCCCTCCTCCTCCCTCCTCCCCTCCCCCCTCCTCCCTCTCTCCCTCCCTCCCTCTCTCCTTGTTTTCCTCCTCCCTCTCTCCTTCCCTCTCTCCTTGTTTTCCTCCCTCCCTCCCTCCCCTCCCTCCTCCCTCCCTCCCTCCCTCTCTCCTTGTTTCCCTCCTCCTCCTCCCTCTCTCCTCCTCTCCTTCCTCCTCCCTCCTCCCTCCCCTCCTCCCTCCTCCCTCCCTTCCTCCTCTCCTCCCCTCCTCCTCCTCCCTCTCTCCCTCCCTCTCTCCTCCTCTCCTCCCTCCCTCCCTCCCTCCTCGTGTCCTTGTCTCTCTCTCCTGCTGCAGGTCTTTTTTTGAACCATGTAAATCGGCTCGTCTCTCTTTTATTGGTTCCGTCTTAAATCCTAAATGAGTCGTAGACGGAGAGACGGACGGAGGA